GTTGTCCACCGATGTTCCAGTTCATGCATGCCTGTTCGGGTGCGCGTTGGCTAAAGGCGGCCCCAAAGGCCTTCAAGATGGCCCCGAGATGGCCCATAAGTTCCGCAGGAGGCCTCCAAGAGGCCCACAAGATCGCCCAAAATCATCCAAGGATGCTCCCTGGACGGCCACAACAAGGTCAGAGGGCCGCACGACCGCCCGGGGGTGTACCCGAGTCTCAAAAATCACGGTGAATCTCTGATTGGGGATTTTTTTCTCGCGGCTGTAAGGGGCTCAAGAAGGCCTTCTGTAAGGAGCTCAAGAAAGCCTTCTGTAAGGAGCTCAATAAAAGGCCTTCTGTAAGGAGCTCAATAATTCCTTCTGCAAGGAGCTTAAGAAGGCCTTCTTCAAGGAGCTCAATGAGGCTTCTGTAAGGAGCTCAAGAAGGCCTTCTGTAAGGAGCTCAAGAAGGCCTTCTGCCAGGAGCTCGACAGGGCCTTCTGTAAGGAGCTCAAGCAGGCCTTCTGTAAGGAGCTCAAGAAGGCCTTCTGCAAGAAACTCAAGAAGGCGTCCTGTAAGGAGCTCAAGCAGGCCTTCTGTCAGGAGCTCAATGAGGCCTTCTGTAAAGAGCTCAATGAGGCCTTCTGCAAGGAGCTCAAGAAGGCCTTCTGTAAGGTGCTCAAGAAGGCCTTCTGTAAGGAGGCCCAGAAGGCCTTCTGCAAGGAGCTGATGAGGCTTCTGTAAGGAGCTCAAGCAGGCCTTCTGTAAGGAGCTCAAGAATTCCTTCTGCAAAGAGCTCAAGAGCTCAATAATTCCTTCTGCAAAGAGCTCAAGAAGGCCTTCCGTAAGGAGCTCAATAAAAGGCCTTCTGTAAGGAGCTCACTAATTCCTTCTGCGAGGAGCTTAAGAAGGCCTTCTTCAAGGAGCTCAATGAGGCTTCTGTAAGGAGCTCAAGCAGGCCTTCTGTAAGGAGCTCAAGAACTCCTTCTGCAAGGAGCTCAAGAAGGCCTTCTGTAAGGAGCTCAATAAAAGGCCTTCTGTAAGGAGCTCAATAAAAGGCCTTCTGTAAGGAGCTCACTAATTCCTTCTGCAAGGAGCTTAAGAAGGCCTTCTTCAAGGAGCTCAATGAGGCTTCTGTAATTTGCTCAAGCAGGCCTTCTGTAAGGAGCTCAAGCAGGCCTTCTGTAAGGAGCTCAAGAAGGCCTTCTGCAAGGAGCTCAGTGAGGCTCCTGTAAGGAGCTCAAGGAGGCCTTCTGTAAGGGGCCTTCTGTAAGGAGCTCAAGAAGGCATCGCGTAAGGAGCTCAAAATGGCTCCAAATAGGTTCTCACCCCAGAACGGTTCCAGGGTGACTCCGGAGCTGGAAACGGTGAGCTTCAAGCTCCCAGGATTACCCCGGAACCGTTCCAGGGGAGTCCGGAACCTGAAACGGCGGATTTTGAGCTTCTCGGTGCCCCTGTGGGTCCCCCGGGGTGTCGGGTTCCTGCTCCTGCCCCGGGCTCCAAAATCCTTTCTTTGCACGGCGAAGGAAACTGGAAATCCGCTGCCCCTCAAGAGGGCTATCCCAATAGCGCGACCAAGACCACGATGGGAGCAACGCAGTGGCAATCTAAGCGGTCGCAGCTGCCGCCATGCAATGCGCCCAATAAGAGCCCGGGCTCCAAGATCCGTGGCTTGCTGTGCGCGCCCTCGCCGCTTTTTCCCGCGCCTCATGACAGCCTCGAGGGGGGGCTTCTCCCAGCGCTGCACGCTGGGCCAGCGCAGCGATAAGGTGTGGGCTTGCGCCGCCTAGCTTCCGCCACAGATTTTGCACCGCGTAGATTTCACTGCACAGCTTGCGACGATGTGATTTTGCACCGCATAGCTTGCACCACGAAGCTTCCACTGCATACGTTGCACTTTGTGCGCACGCATCAGGCGAAACCGCACTGGGACCAAGCCAAACCAAGCGTGAGGACGTCTGAGGCGTCACCCTACCGGAATCAAACCAAACCAAGCAAATCGTGAGGACGTCATCAGCGAAGCCCCACAGAAAGCAAGCCAAACCAGGCAAATTGCGAGGACGTCTCTCAAGAGAAACTGCGCCGACACCAAACCAAACCCAGAAAATTGTGAGAACGTCTCACGCGACACCAGCCCCAAACCAGGCGAAGCCAGGGGCCAAACCAGGCAAATTCTGAGGACGTCTCAAGCGAAACGCCCCAAACCAGGCTTCATCCACTGACCTTTATTACATGAAGTTGAATGAGTGACTGACAAAAAGGCTCCCCCGCAAGGGGGCTAGGGGTCCTGTCATTAGATTAGAATTCTATGGGGGCAGGAATTTTGATAAAGCTTGTATTCGAATTCTCGTGATTTTTGTCGGGCCTACTTTTGTGGCCTCCCTGCGGCTTCTCGCCAAAAAATACATCGATGTAAAGAAACCACCACAACATATATACGACTGGGGCGCAACAGCATGTATGTGACCCGGGCACACCATCACGCATTGTCTTGCGAGTGCTCTCGGGCCAACGGGGTCGCGCTAGGAAAAGTACTCACGAGGCTGCAGGTTTGGGAGGGGGAGGGGGAGTCGCATCTGCATCGCCCTGTGGTGGAAAAGGCGTAGAAGCGCACTGAGAAAAGGAAAGGGGACAGAGAGGGTGGGAGGCGGCGGGAGAGTGTGGGTGCAGGAGAAGGGTGAGAGGGTGGGAGAGCGCGGGTTGTGGAAGGGTGGAGGAAAGGGGAGAGAGAGACAGGGGGAAGCGAAAAGGACAGGAGGAGGAAGGTGAGGAGGATTCCTTACTCCTCCCCCCTCTCTCCCCCTCCCCTCGACTCCTGCCTGCTTTCCCGTTCACAGCAATCACTCGCCGGTGACCCCTGGAGCGGTCACCTGGCCCCCGTTTGTTCAACCTGCAAGGCCGACCGGCCCTGGGGGGGGGCCACATCGCTTCATCCGCTGGCTTCTCTAGCCAGCAGGAAACAGGAAACGGGAAGCTGGACGAGAAATAGGACATACGTTATACGCCCTGTGGTGGGTGGAGAAAACGGCGGAGAGGGGAAGGGATGGGGCGCTCCGCATGAAGAGGCAGAGGGAGGAAGAGGAGGCCTGGGGACTAAAACGCCGGGGGAGAGGCAGGATGTCAAGATAAGATAAGACAGGACCAAGGCGAGATCGGTCCACATCGGATCCGCAAATCAGATCGAATCGAACAGTGCATCGGATCCGGCTGCATCGGCACAGAATCGAAATCGAATCGGATCGGCTGCGCTAGGATGCACAACAATGCCATGCCAGCGTCGGGCCGCATCGGACCCTCGGAACATCGGAATCCAATCGGACGGGGCCGCCATCTAGAATCGGTCTCGCATTGGCTCGAAATGGACCCTGCCAGGGCGGGAATTTTCCTATCGCGCCCTGACTGACAACCCCCTCTGGTCCGGTCCTGGAGTCGTACCCTTGCAGGGCCAAGTCCGATCAAAGCCTGTCCCCGGAAACCTCCCGGGGGCCCATCTGAAATGTTTCACCCTGGATCCGCTTTTTGACGGTAGAAAGAAGGAAGAAGCAGTAGAGAACGAAGGCAGAAGGAAGAACGAAAGGAGGAAAAGAAGGCAGGAGGAGCAAGAACAGCAGACGGACAGAAGGTCGGAAACGGCCCACGGAGGCCGCGAGAAGGAAGAGGCCCTCCCGAATGCGGAACCTCGACCTTGCCCGCCCCTCCTGCTGGCCAGGACCAGTGCCCGGCCAGCCCGGACCCTCGGCCCCCGACGGCTCCAAGCTGAGATCTACGATTAAGTCGGGCGTGTCCCCCTACAGGGGGATTTTCGACGAAAAACAAATAAAACCCCAAAAATGCCCCACAGAGGCCAACAAATACTCAAAAAATAGTTCCCAGACTATCTTTGGACTATTTTTTTGAGTATTTTTTTGGTATTTTCTATTTTTCGTCGAAAATCCTCCTCCAGGCTGGCCAGGACCAGTGCCAGGCCAGCGCGGACCCCCCGACGGCTCCCAGCTGAGCTCTGCGAGCGGATGCTGCCCTTCGCCCCGCGCCCCCGGAGAACCACGCGCAAGGCCCGCTGTGGGGTCGGCGGCGGAAGTGGCCGCCGCCTCTGGCTTTGCGGACGCCACGACAGGGGACACCCTAACCGTCCTGTCATTGAATTGTATATATGTTCAAAATATTGGGAAAAATGTTCTAAACATGTCTTCAACATGGTTGTTACATGTTTACTCCATGTTTAACACATGGTTTAGGCACCTGGACACTATTTGGCAACATGCTTCCTCTCCATTCATCGTCCTGCACAACTCTATAGCTAACCGAAGGAAACAATGCTGGACCCCCCCCTTCCGGTGAAACAATAACGCATCCAGCACCCGGAAGCGTGATCCTGGCACCCTGCGGAGGAGGAGGAAGAGGAGGAGGAGGAGGCGGAGAAGGAGGAGGAGGAGGGGGAGGAGGAGGAGGCGGAGGAGGAGGAGGCGGAGGAGGAGGAACAGGAAAAGGAGGAGGAGGAGGAGGAGGAGGAGGAGGAGGAGGAGGAGGAGGAGGAGGAGCAGGAGGGAGCAGGGCTGGGGGGCGGGGGGGGGCGGGGGGGTCGCTGCTTTGGTAACTTTGTTGCGTGCGTCGGGGCCGCGGGAGGCGGGCCGCGGCTGAACTGGGCCAAACATAGAAGCGGAGAAACGGCATTAGCAGAAGCTTTCGGAGGTCCGCGCGGACTTCTGGGCTCTGCGCTGGGCCCCCTCCGTGGCGCCTCCAGCGCCGCCCCTGGCGCGCTCCGCGCGGGGCAGGGAGAGGGGTCGTCCGGCGCCGATCCAAGCCGTCCGAGCGGAGCTCCGAAAAATGATGTTTGGTTATGCCACGTGCCTCGTCCTCGGAGACAGTTCGTGATGCTCAGACTGCGCCAACACGGTGCGGGTACGAGCAGTGTGCTCCGTGGAATCGAGGGGGTCGCGAACGGAGACGGGGCGGAGGAGGAGCAGGAGGGCCACGACTCCCCCGCGCCACTTTCCCGCGCCACTGCCCCCCGCCCTGGCGACCTCCGCGTGGGTATCGGCCCGCTCGGTGATCTCCCGCAGCGAGTCCTGCCCCCGCGCACGGCCGCAGGAGTCTTAAAGAGGGAGAGACGGGACGACGGGAGGAAACGACGCCAGATGATGAGCATGGGGATGAGGAGGACGTTGGGAGCAAATGAATGGGGGGGGGCCCTTTTCGGGGCCTGAAATCCCCATCTGGGCCCCAAAAGGTCCCCTTCAGGGGCCTCTTTCTGCAGCCCGCGCTGCCCCCCCCCCCATGTATCGCCCACCCTTGCGCGCCCCCCAAGGGCAACGGGAGGAAAGGATGCGGGGTGATGAGCATGAGGGACGAGGGGTGAAGGGGGGAGGGGAGGAGAGAGGGAGGGAGGGGAGGGAGGAGGGGGGAGGGAGGGGAGGGAGGAAGGGGCGGGGAGGGTGTGGGAAGGTAGGGGGTGCGCAGGAGGGCGAAGGACAAGCCCCCTGGCGCGCTGGGGGGGGGGCCCAGCGCAGAACTAAGAATCCGCGCGGACCTTCGAAAGTTTGTGGTTATGCCGTTACGCCGTTCGGTGTTCCTCTAGGGGAGGGGGGAGGGATGGAGGAGGGAGTGAATTCTTAAATCTTCGTGTAATTTGACCAGCCCATGCACAAACAATCGCTGGGCGAGCTGTCCCGATCAGGGACTTGTGCCAGAATGCTGTCACGCTCTGGGAGCCTCAGGGAGACATCTTAGGGCCTTCGTGGTAACTTATTCGGGGCCCTCTCGAGGCCATTTTGGAGGCCTCTCAAGCTCGCTTGGGGTCCTCGTGTAGCCATCCTGGAGGCCTTGGCAGCGCTCTCAGGGCCATCTTGGAGGAGGGAGTGAACTCTCAATTCTTCGCGTGACTCGTACCTGCTTTGCCCTTCGATGCTCCTCCCCCTCCCCCACACACCCCCATCGTCCCTCATCCTCCCCCTCCCGATCCCCCTCTCCCCCCTCCTCCCCCTCCTCGGGAGCGGTCAAAAGGAGGGTGTCCAAGAGCGGGGGGTGCAGATCATGGCCGGCGGCATGTGCGCGGCCCAGCGGGGGGGCCAGGGACGTAATGAAATAAGAAGGGGGCGCCACGAAATCTGAGGAAATATCATGGCCCCCGCCATGATATCCCCCCCCTAGTCATCACCCCCCTCTTTGCCGCCCCCGACCTCCTCCTCCTCTTCCCCCTCCTCATCCTCCTCCTCCTCCTCCCCCTCTTCCTCCTCCTCCTCTTCCTCCTCGGCCCCCCAAGTTGGGCAGCCCGCCCGCCCGCCCGCCGACCTGGCAGTGCTTGATCACAGGGGCGAAGCGCGCCGCCTGCGCGGTGCACATACACATACACATACACATACACATATACACATATACACATATACACATACACATATACACATATACACATACACACATACACACACATACACACATACACATACACACATACACATACACATACATATACAGATACATATACATATACATACACACCGCCGAGTTTGTGGGGTATGCGGGCCTGGCGCACGATGGCACAGCGATATTACGCGGCGGCATACGCGGGCCAAGGGCGCGGCACGCCACAGTGGAAACGAGGGCGCTAACGCGCGGCCTTACGCTGGCAGCTTACGCAACACTGTCGGCGCAGTTTCCTGCGTCGGTCGCACGATGGTCTGAGAAGTCGGCGCCGCGTGCACGCATCCGTCGCCGACATCTTCAGGAAGGGTGGCGACTGGCTCTCCGTAGGGAGCTATACACCGCCACCCTCCCCTGAGGCCCAGGACCAATCTCGTGGATGGTGTCGTGTCTGAATACAGATACATATGTGTATGCATATGAGTGTGTGCGTGTGCTTGTCCATATATACACATACATACATATGTACTTATATACATACACGTGTACTAGAATCATCGCGCGCGCGTCGCGCGCGCTCAGGTTCTAACCCAGGCTGGGAGGGCGCTGGGAGATCTTGGACAGCGCTATCACGCACAGGCGCGTGACATAGTCGTGCCTCTTGAGGGCCTCTTGGGAATCTCTTGGGTCTTCGCGGGGGCATCTGAAGGGCTTCTGGGGGGTTCTCCGTGCTTCCTCAATTAGCTGTTGGAGGCACATCTTTGGTGTTTCTTGGGGGGGATCTTGGGGCTTCTTGGGGTCCCTTGAAGACATCGTCGGGATTATCCGGGCAGTCGGAAGGTGATGTTCTGCTATATGAAGCCTCTTGGAGGCCTTTTGGGGGCGTCTTGGCGGGCTCTTGGGCCGCCTTGGGACCATCTCGGGCGTCTTAGGGCGATCTGTGGCCGTCCCGGGGCCCTCTTGGACCATCTTAGGGGCCCCCCGGGGCCGTCTTGGAGGCTCCTCCTCCTCCTCCTCCTCCTCCTCCTCCTCCTCCTCCTCCTCCTCCTCCTCCTCCTCCTCCTTCCCCTCCTCCTCCTCCTCCGCCTCTTCCTCCTCCTCCTCTTGGGCGTCTTGAAGCCTCTTGGGGGCGCCGACGAGGGGGCAGCAAAAAAAGAGGGCCCGATGGCCCACGGAGGTGGGCGGGCCGCTCTTCGCTGTTGAAAACCTAACAGCAATCAGCGATGTTGGCTTCGTGGGGCTCGTTGGGAAGGCAGTTCGGAGACTAGTAGGGGGCTCTGAGGAGGCACTCGTTGGGAAGGCAGTTTGGAGACTAGTATGGGGGCTCTGAGGAGGCAGCTTGGACTTGTTTGGGGTCTCCCAGGCGTCCAGGGTCTGCCGGGGGCCTCGGGAGGGTCTCGGGAGCTTCTTTGGGCCTCCTCTGCCCCCCTTTGGACCCATCTTGGGCATGTGCTGGGGCGTTTGGGGGCCGTCTTGGGCGGCTCTTGGGCAGTCTCGAAGCTTTCTTGGGCTGTCTTGGCGCTCTCTTGGAAGCCTTTTTGGCAATCTTGGGGCGGTCTTGGGGGGTCTCTTCGGTCTCTTCGACCTCCTTGGGGTGTTGGAAGCTCGACAACGAAAAAAATACTCACTGCGTGGAGCTCCCCATGTGTGCATCTCAAGTTTTATGTCATGCCATAGTGAGCGTCTGTTCATGAGCGTCCTACCCCCTGGCGGTTCCCCTTAGGGGTGCTGAAACCAGCGCCCCGCCTGAGACATCCTCACCATCTGCTCTGAAAGCAAAGGATGTTGGGCATGAAAACGAGCAAACCGCCTGAGACATCCCCGCAAACTGGCCGCGAACGGGCCCCTGAGAACACCTCTGGCGGCTACCCTTAGGGGTGCTGAAACCAGCGCCCCGCCTGAGACATCCTCACAATCTGATCTGAAAACAAACGATGTTGGGCATGAAAACGAGCAAACCGCCTGAGACATCCCCACAAACTGGCCGCGAACGGGCCCGTGAGAACACTCCTGGCGGCTCCCCTTAGGGGTGCTGACACCAGCGCCCCGCCTGAGACATCCTCACAACCTGCTCTGAAAGCACAGGATGTTGGGCATGACAACGAACAAACCGCCTGAGACATCCGCACAAACTGGCCGCGAACGGGCCCGTGAAACCACCCTGGCTGTTCCCCTAGGGGTGCTTAAACCAGCGCCCCGCTTCAGACATCCTCACAATCTGCTCTGAAAGCAAAGGATGTTGGGCATACAAACGAACAAACCGCCTGAGACGTCCCCACAAAGTGGCCGCGAACGGGCCCGTGAGCACACCTCTGGCGGCTCCCCTTAGGGGTGCTGAAACCAGCGCCCCGCCTGAGACATCCTCACAATCTGCTCTGAACGCAAACGATGTTGGGCATACAAACGAACAAACCGCCTGAGACGTCCCCACAAAGTGGCCGCGAACGGGCCCGTGAGAACACCCCTGGCGGCTCCCCTTAGGGGTGCTGACACCAGCGCCCCGCCTGAGACATCCTCACAACCTGCTCTGAAAGCAGGGGAAGTTGGGCATGAAAACGAGCAAACCGCCTGAGACATCCCCACAAACTGGCCGCGAACGGGCCCGTGAGAACACTCCTGGCGGCTACCCTTAGGGGTGCTGACACCAGCGCCCCGCCTGAGACATCCTCACAATCTGCTCTGACAGCAAAGGATATTGGACATGAAAACGAGCAAATCGCCTGAGACATCCCCACAAACTGGCCGCGAACGGGCCCGTGAACACACCTCTGGCGGCTCCCCTTAGGGATGCTGAAGCCAGCGCCCCGCCTGAGACATCCTCAAACTCTGTCGTGCGTTGAGTAACTCAGGCCATGAGAAGGTCTGAGTATGTGTAGGTCTGAGTGTGAGTAAGTCTGTATATGAGTATGTCTGGGCATGAGTAAGTCTGAGTATGAGTAAGTCTGTGTGTGAGTAAGTCTGTGTGTGTACGTCTGGGTATGATTAAGTCTGAGTATGAGTATGTCTGAGTATGAGTAAGTCTGAATATGCGTAAATCTGAGTATGCGTAAGTCTGGGTATGCGCAAGTCTGAATATGAGTAAGTATGCGTATGAGTATGTCTGGGTATGAGTAAGTCTGAGTATGAGTAAGTCTGTGCATGCGTAAGTATGTGTTCTGGGTGTGTTCTTGTTCTCTAGAGTCGGCAGCGTCCAAGACATAACAAGAGCCCCGTCTTAGGATATGGGAAAAAACAATGAACATCAAAGTGTTGTGCCTCTTGGGGCTCTCTCGGGGGACCTCTTGGCACTTTCCCGCAGCCATTTTGGCTTAATTCGTCAACCTCAGGGGGCCGCCGCGCCTGTGGACGAAGGGGCACCGCCAGTCCCCGACAGTCAGAGCAGCTTGCTGCTCGGCGTTCGGGTCACCCGCGCGCGAGCGCTGTCGAGCCATGGCGCCCGCGGCGGGGTGGCAGGACGGTGGAAGCAGGGCAACGGCCTGCAGCCGTGCTCGCGTGGAGTCGGTGACGAACACGCGTCGGGGAGGAAGTGTCGAGGATGTGGGGCACAGGCCTCCAGGCAGGCAGCCACGTTCAAGCAGGTGCCGCTGGGGCCCATCCAGGCGCGAAGTTACCATGCAGAAGAAGCTGGGCGCCAAGCGCGATGAACTCCTCTCCATCAAGAAGGAGCGCAACCGCGACATGGAAAGCGGCCTGGCGGAGCCAAAGGCTCTTGGGGCCGTTTTGGTGCCCTCTCGGGCCGTCTTGGGCGCCTCAAGCTCCCTCTTGGGGCCCTCGTGGGCCGTCTTGGGGCCCTGTTGGAGGCATCTTGGGCTAGCTTGGAACGGTCTTGGAGGTCTTCTGGGCCGTCTTGGAGCGTCGGGACGCCCAAAAGCTGAAACCTCGAACATCAATCACAAACCGATGGCAAGACAATGATGTTTGTCTCTTGGGGCCTTCGTGGAGAAGCCTCTTGGAGGCCTCTTGGGCTGTGTATTTGCGGTCTCGACCCCATCTGGGGCCACGATGGGGCTATCTGGGCTGTCTTGGAGGGGCTTGTCCAAGTCCCCGAGGGCTTCTGGGAGCTCTCTGGGGCAGTCTGGGAGCTCCAGAGCCGCTCCAGGGTGCTCTGGGAGCGGTCTGGGAAACCCTGGTCCTCCCATGCGCGCTCGGGCCCCGGGCCCCGGGCGCCCGGGCCTCGTGCACGGGGATATATATATATATATATATGATATATTATCGATATGTGTGTGTCTATGTATATGTATAAGTGTATGCACTTCTGTAAATATAAACACAATTACATCTATAGGTGTACATATATGAATGTAGCGGAACCTCCTGCCAGCCCTGCCCTTCCCCGCATGTATGCTGCACCTGCGGCACGAGCAACCAACATCGAATCGGGAAACCGGGTCGGCCCCGAACGCGCATCGAAGCGGACCGCAGCGGCACAGAGCCGGGATCGAACAGAATCGGGGGCGCCCCGATGCACGACACCGCCGTGCAAGTGTCGGGGAGGCCAGTGCCGAGTCGGATCGGAGGGGAGGAAGGGAGATCAGGAAGGGACAGGACAACGAAACGAGGGAGCGAGGGAAGGGACAATGAAATACTTGCCATCGCTCGGACGTCCATTCCCCGTGCATGTTTCGGGTTCGTGCGTGTTTTTTTGGCTCGATGGTCAAGGATGCTGCTCGATGGCCGTCGCCAAGAAACAAATGCACACGTCCGAGCGATGCAAGGAAAGAAGGATGGCGCTATCCCGCCTGCTTGATGGAGACCAGCTGCAGCAGATCCTTGCGGGCATCCTCGAAGGCCTTCTCCAGCTCCTGGAAGAGAGAGGAGAGCGCGGGAGCAGAGAGGTATGAGAAGGTGGCAACGGTATGAGGGAGGAGGGTAGATGAAGGCATAAGGCGGGGTGACGCGTTGTGTCCGACCACCCCCAGCGGAGGGAAGAGCAGTAGGAGGTGAAGGAAAATGCTCCTCACTCCTCCTGCTCCTCCTGCTCCTCCTCCTCCTCCTCCTCCTCCTCCTCCTCCTCCTCCTCCTAGGGAAGGGGGGATAGGGAGGGCCCCCCTCTCCTCCCTCCTCCTCCTCCTCCTCCTCCTCCTCCTCGCCTTCCTGTTCCTCCTTTCTCCTCCTCCTCCTTGTCCTCCTCCTCCTCCTTTATTGCCAACTCAGCACCACCACTCAGCCCTCCCTCCTTCCCGCCCGTCCCGCCTTTTTTCCTCCTCCTCCTCCTCCACCACTTCCACCTCCTCCTCCTCCTCCTCTTCCTCTTCCTCCTCTTCCCCCCTCCCGTCCCAACCTATCTCCACTCTGCCCCCCTCCCCCCCCCCCCCACCCTCATCTCCACTCCCCCGCCCCCACATCTCCACTCCCCCCCACCCCACACACCCCCACCTCAGCCCCCCTCCTCCACTCGTGGCCTGCAGTCGCAGCCCTGGGGCGAAAGGGGGGGAGGGGAGAGTCGTCCTTCATGCGCTCGGGAGTGGCGGACTTGGCCTGCGCGCGCTGGGCTGGCAGAGCGGGGCGGGGCAAGGGGATGGCTTCTCCTGCCTCGTCCTCCTGCCTCGTCGCCGTCATCCTCCTACAACTCGTCCTGCTGCTGCCGTCTCTTTCTCCTCCTCCTCCTTCTCCTCCTCCTCCTTCTCCTCCTCCTCCTCCTCCTCCTCCTCCTGTCTCGCTCTCCTCGCCCCAATCCTAGTCCTCGTATGTTCCTCCTTTTCTCCTCCTCCTCCTCCTCCTCCTCCTCCTCCTCTGCCTCCTCCCTCTCCTCTTCCCTCTTCTTCTCCTTCTCTTGCTCCTCGCCAATCGTCTTGTTATCCTCCTCCTCCTCCTCCTCCTCCTCGTCCTCCTACTCTTCCTCGCCATATTGCTGGTGCTCCTCCCCTTGTTTCTCTTCCTCGTCCTCCTACTCCTCCTCCTGCTCTTTCGCGTCCCTCGCAACATTCCTCCTCCTCCTGCTCCTCCTCCTCTTCATCATCATCATCAGTCTCACCTGCTTTTCCATCGTCCGTCCGTCTCCTCGTCCTTTGCATCCTTTGCTTCCTCTCACTCCTCCTGCGCCTTCCTCCTGAACAACATGTGCGACGTTGTTCGACAACAGGGCGTGTCCAAGCCAGGAAGCCGCCTGTCCGGAGCAAGCAATTCCGAGGCAGGGGGCAGAGGAGAGAGGAGAAGAGCACAGGGAAAGGGGAGGACGCGGGGCGGAGGGAGGCGAGGATGGTACAGAGGCCGTGTGAAGGGCCAGAAAAGAACGCAACACGAGCATGTGGAGCGTCATCGGGTGCGCCAGTGACGCGTCAAGGAATGGACTTGGGACTGATGGCGACAGCACTGCGTCTGATGAACAAGTGCAGCGTAGCCACGACCAGGGAGCAGCTTCAACCAATCCTACTTTGCATTGACACATGCGTTGCACCAATTCGCTAGAGTCAGTCCTTGCATTGTTATGCACCTCTATCGCTGTGACTTCCCCAAGACGGCACAGGAGGCCTTTAAGACGCCCAAGATGGGCCTCCGACGGCGTCAGACGGACCAGGAGCCCACCAAGACGGCCGAACATGGCCCTAAGATGGCCCAAGACGGCCCAAGAGGCCTCCAAGAGGGCCTCCAGGAAGGCTGGAAAAGGCCAAAATCATTGATTTACCATGGGTTTTTCAAGGATTGTGGCTTTCTCTTTTTTTCTGCCTTCCGACGAGGCCCCCAAGACGGCCCAAGAGGTCTCCAAGACGCTCAAGATGGCCTCCAAGACGGCCCAAGAGCTCGCCAAGACGTCCTCCAAGAAGGCCCGAAAAGGGTCAAAATGGCCTCCAGGCGGCCAGGATGACCTTCGAGATGCCCACGTGTTCCCCGAAGGCTTTCCAAACCGATTCGGGGAACACGTGGTCCGATAGCTTAGCAGGTCTGGCCTCAACGTTCGGCCTCATATGCGCTTCCAAAAAGGCAGGGGGCGGCGGTGATTCGCCGTGCGTCTTCGATTCTTTTGGAACAAGAACCAACACCCCCCCACGTGTTCCCCGAAGGGTTTCCACAACGGCTGGGGGAACACATGGTCCGATTGCTTGGCCGAGCTCTGGCCTCAACGTTCGGCCACACAGGCGCTTCCACAAAGGCAGGGGGCGGCGGTGATTCGCGGTAGGCGTCTTCGATCCGCCGCCCCCTGCGGTCTTACCACAGAGGGGGCGCACGGCGCGCCAAACGTCTGGCAAGTTTCAAGCAGTCCAGGAATGCCCCCACATGGCAAAGCAATGCTCAACAAGATCGTCCCCAGACTATTCGTTTTCCCTATTTGGGGATACTCCTCCTGTAGAGGGACAGGCCCAATGTAAGGCAAGCCTGGGCCCGTTTCGCAAAACCTCCCCGTGGGGCCTCGGCCCGGCCCGCCGGCCACCCGGGAAGCTCTGGGCGACGCCCCTCCCGTCGACTCGTTCGCTGAAGCTGGCCCAACGATTGCCTCCCAGACGGCGAAGATGGCCCCCAGAGAAACCGCGATGGCGCCAACATGTCTTCCAGACGGCACACGATGCACCCGAGTGCGCCTCAAGACAGCCCAAGGCGGCCCAAGAGGCTCAAAAGAGGCCTCCAAGACGGCCCCAGAGGCCTCCCAGAAGGCCCGAAGAGGCCAAGGTCATTGATTCTCCTTATCGAGGCAAGAGAAGTATGCACATGCACCGATTCTGGCCAGGCCCATCCTGAGCCCAGGATCGGTGCATACGACCTCCTGCCTTGGCCAGGAAAGCCTATGCACCGATCCTGGGCCCAGGATAGGCCTGGCCAGGATCGGTGCATATGCATACTTCTCTTCGCCCGATCCTTAAGTGCTTGAAGGAGTTGGACATGACGGCCTTCCGACGGCCTTCTGACGGACGAAGAGGCCCCTAAGATTGCCCAAGAGGCCTCCAAGATGGTCCAAGATGCTCCAAAGACGGCCACAAAGGGCCCCAAGACGGCCCAAGAGGCCTCCAAGACGCCTGAGATGGCCTTCAAGACGACCCTGAAGCTCCTCAAGAGAACCCCAAGACGGCCAAGAAATGCTCTCAATACGGCTTCTGACAACGTCATACGGGCCAGGAACGCCGTAAGACAGCGAAAAAGGCCCGCAAGAAACCCCCAGAGGCCCCCAAAATGCCCGAGGAGGCCCCCAAGAGGTCTCCCAAAGCTCCCAAAAGGCCCCAAGAATGAGCCAAGAAGCTCCCAAAAGGTCTTCTCATCCAACTGTTTTTCCTTCTTCTCCCACGTTTCCCAGAATTTCCACAGGTCCCACACGTTCCACAGATCCCACAGGTGACAGGTCTCAGAGGCCCCACAACTCACAGAGGTCTCCCATCGCACGGGTCCGACAAGTTTCCCTTCTCCGACTGCGGAGAACACGATGGTGTTTGTTTGTGGAGTTCCAGATCGGCTGTCACACGTGTCTACGCATCGAGAAACATCCGCGCGATGGGAAGGGATAGGAGGGAGGGATAGGATGTCAGATAAACGCAAGCGCACCTAGTTTGCCTCATCCTCTTTTTCCTCACCCGCGTGTTCCCCGAAGGGCTTCCGCAACGGCAAGTGGAACGCATGGTCCAAAAGCGTGACCAAGCTTTGCCCAACTGTTAGCCACATGGGCGTTTCATGTAAGGCAGGGGGCGGCGGTGATTCGCCGAGGGCGTCTTCGATTCGCCGCCCCCTGTTGGCTTGCAAGAAGGGTGCACGGCGTGGCAAACGTCAAACCATGTCTGGTATTCTTTACAAGTTTCTCGTGGGCCTGTCGGTCGATCCCGCTGGCACGGAACAAAAAACCGTAGTTTTCCCAAGTCGTCGGTGTTCTCACCCCAGACGGCCCCATGATGGCTGCAAATGGTCTCCAAGATGGTTCCCAGACGTGCAAAATGGCCCCAAGAGGGCTCAAGATGGCCGCAAGATGTCTCCACGACGGCCGGGGTATTCACCCAACACGGCCCCAGTAGCCGAAGGCGGCCCGAGAGGCCCCCAAGAGGCCTCCAAGAGAACCTCCAGAAAAGCACAAAGAGATCTCTCCCCTCCTCCTCTTGTTCTTTCTCCCGCACGCCTTCCCCGAAGGGTTTCCAAACGGTGATGATGATGATGCTTAATGATGATGATGCTTATGGTGATGATGATGCTGCTTATGATGATGATGATGATGATGCTGATGATGATGATGCTTATGATGATGCTGCTTATGATGCTTATGATGATGATGATGATGATGATGATGATGATGATGATGATGCTCATGATGATGATGATGATGATGATGATGATGATGATGATGGTGATGGTGATGGTGATGATGATGATGCTTATGCTTATGCTTATGCTTATGCTTATGATGATGATGATGATGATGATGATGATGATGATGATGATGATGATGATGATTACTCTTGTTCTTTCTCACGCACGCCTTCCCCGAAGGGTCTCCAGACGGCTGGGGGAACACCTGGTCCAGCAGATCGGCCAAGATCTGGCCGCAACGTCCGTCCTGATATAGGCGCTTCGCAAAAGGCATGGGACGGCGGCCATTCGCCGAAGGCGTCTTGGATCCGCCGGCCCCACTGGATTGCAAAAAAACCCTGGATTGCAAGAAAGGATTGCAAAAAAACCCTGGATTGCAATCCTTCGTTTTGCAATCCTGGGTTTTTTTGCAATCCTTTTTTTGCAATCCTTCGTTTTTTTGCAAAGCCACGGGCTGCACGGCGTGCCACTTTTTGTTTACAGTCTTTTTCAATAATCGCAGTGGCCACCCGGAAAGCCCCGCCACCGTCGTTTTCCATGGGCCTCCTCCCGACCAAGATGGCCCTCAAATGGCCTCCAAGATGTAAGATGTAAGATGGCCTCCACGACTACCAAAATGGCCTCACAAAAAAGCCTAGGATTGCCACAAGATGTCTCCAAGATGGCCCAAAATGCACCCAGGACGGCCCAAGATGGCCTCAAGATGGCCCAGTGGCCCCCCACGACGCCTCCAAGGCGGCCGAAACGCCTCGAAGACGTCCTCCAGAAGGCCCCGAGGGGTTGAGATTCCTTGGATGTTTGAAAGATGGTTGTCATTGTTTCTTTTCGGACGTCTGACGGCCCGAGACGGCCCACGAGGCCACCGAGGTCGCCCCCAGAGCGTCACAAAGGCCTCCAAAATGGCCCCATGACGGCCCAGTAGGCCCCCAAGGCGGCCTCAGGAGGGCCCCATCGACGGCCCAAGAGGCCTCGAAAACGCTCAAGGCGGTCTCCAAGACGGCCCCGAAACGCTCCAAGAGGGCCCCAAGTCGGCCCAGAGAGGCTTCAAAGACCGCAGCAAAACGGCGGGAGACGGACCAGGAACTCACCCAGACTGCTGAAAGCCTTCCAAGGAGCCTCCAAAGGCCCACAAGAAGCCCCAAAAATGCCCCAAGAGACTCTCAGGAGGCCTCCTCCTCCTCCGTTTCCTGTTCCTTCTCTTCCGTCTCCCTCTCCTCCTCCTCCTCCTCCTGATCCTCCTCCTCCTGCTCCTCCTCCCT